TATCCAAGTATTATTAGTTTCTAATGGAAGTCATTTCCTTGTACTTTGCCATACCCAAAAATCTCAGACAAATTCCAGCTCTAAAACCTACAAAAAATTTGTTTCCCCAACAAGCTGACCCTTTTTAAGGTTGAAGTATTATAAATTAAAACCATACCCTTATAAAAAAAAAAACCTGTGTGTATACATACATGGGCAAAACTTTACATTAGTGCCTCAGTGCAAACGAAATTGGAGATAATAAGTGGAAGTGAGAATAGGTTAAAGAGTAAATATGTCTAAAAGTGAATTGATGTTAAGACTATTAATTATCAGAGTTATAAAATTATTTATGATTTAAAGTGAAATACTGAAAATAATTTGTAAATATAGTAAAATAAAACATCTTTTTAACAGTCATCAGTTATTTAATAACTTTGTAGCGTTAAAATCGTAATTTTTGTATGCTTTTAAAGAGAAAGTTTTTACATTGTAGGCATTAAAGTGAACTCACATGCTTGCATGGTTATGTGCAGTTGACATTAAAATAAACTTCCATGCATTTATTTGCACAAATTTTAACATATAAAACTTAACGAGGCATTAAAATAAACTTTTAAGCATATATTTGCATGAATTTTAACTTATAAAACTTAACATGAGGCATTAAAATAAACTTTAAGCATTTATTTGCATGAATTTTAACATATGAAACTTAACATGTAGGCATTAAAATAAACTTCCATGCCTTTATTTGCACGTATTTTAACATGTATATTAGTACTGTTAATTATTATTAGATTTATAAAAATATTGATGATTTGAAATGAAATACTGAAAATAAGTTTTAAACATATATAATTAAAACATATTTTTAACTGTCTCAATTATTTAATAACTTTGTAGGTTTAGAACCGCAATTTCGGTATGCTCTTATTGTCACTAAAATTAACTGACAATATTTGAATAAAAGCGTTTAGGTAGTAAGATCTTATTTTATTATATGCTTCCACAATGTTTAAAATTATATTTTTTCAAGCCATGCTTAGCAAGTAGACTTCGTTCAGAAGAGTTTTACAATTTTATCATATATTCAATTTTAAATAAGCCAATCAATTTTGAAAAGTTATGTCCTAACATTACATTTTTGAAATAAAAAATTCTAATTTAGTTTATATATTTATCTAAAACAATAATTAATAAAAAAAAGTTAAATATAAAGAACAATTTGTTTATTTAGCGTTATTAATATAAATATAAATTCACTCTAATCCATTTATTTAGCCGTTTAGCATTATTAACATAAATTTACTTTTACACCTAGTATTCAATACCCTCCATTTACATCACTGTCTCAATTTTTTGTTTGCATTGAGGCACTAATGTAAAGTTTTGCCCATACAGTATTAGTAATTAGTTCAGTATTTTTTGAGTGTGTAAAAAAGAATTACAATTAAACTATCAAACATTCATTTTTACACATATACATGAATTTATCAGAGACAAAAATAATAAATATCTATTCTTAGATCTTTCCTGTTTCTTAGTTTCTAAACTTCTTTTTATGACGACCGGACAAACCTCAGCGACTGTTTATTTTATGATGACTAACTAACCCTCTGAGCCCACTTTATCATTATGTTACGTTAAATTGTTATAAAATAAATAAAAAAAGTTACAAAAAATAGACCTTTTGTATCTTCTTAGATGAATAACCATTTTGGTAACAAAAAAACTCTTCCTTTGCCGTCAAAATATCTCTTCCACCTCCTTTAACGAAGTTCTTTAAAATGGCGGAGGCACCCAAGCAGTTCGTTTGGAACCAAAGGTTACAAATAACAGAATAACGCAAAGCTACGGTCATGTCTAAGAGGTAATAGGGGTAATTAATTAGTACTTGCATGTATTTTATAAAACGCTACACACATATATAATATAAATAAATGTACAATTGTACATATAGAGGATGGTCACTATTGTTGATTGCGTTCTTCGCTCTGAACACCACACAGGCAACATGAAAATGTAAGACACAAACATTCACATAATAATAAACATTAAAATATTAACGCTTTATTTCTGTACGTGCGTTCGTACGTACGTTTGTTTGTTTGAATGTATGCGTATGTATGTATGTTTGCATTAAAACCTTGGACGACAGGAGATCTTCGAATGACCACTGCCGACCTCCAACGGACCACTGTCATAAAAAGTCGTTCCGATTCTGTTCAGTAATTTTCGAGATATCATGAATTACCGAACTCGCACTATAGTTTGATTTTTAGGAGTGTGGCGCTGATATAGAAAATTAAGCTGGTAGTTTGTAAATAGATTCATGTAGTACTCAATTTTCTGAGACTGCGAATGTTTGTACAATGTTTGTACAATGTTTGTACAATGTTTGTACAATGTTTGTACAATGTTTGTACAATGTTTGTATCATGTTTTTATCATGTTTGTATCATGTTTGTATCCTGTTTTTATCATGTTTGTATCATGTATGTATCATGTTTGCAAGGTAATGTTGTATGTTTGTATGCTAATTATAACCCATGTTTGAGAGTATTTGAGAAAATGATAGAGAATCGCATTTTTATGAAAACAAACAAGTGAAGAAGGAAAAGGCATCTCACTTGAACGGCATTTAGTGAGAAGCCCCCTCGCCACGTCAAGGCAGCCGTTCATGAGGGGGTTAATAATAAAACGACAGTCTAAAAATAATATGTAACGAAGGTCTAGAAATAATATACAACTTAACTAAAATATAACGAAAATGATATTGTGTTGATTGCTGTGTTTGATTGCTGCTGTTGATGTTGTGTTGAACAAAATATAATACAAATAAACTAGAACGTAAGAAAGAAAGAATAGAGTCCCTAACTTACCTATGTTCACTAAATTAACTCACCTACCTATGTTCAATTAGCTCAACTTACGAATTAAACCTACCTATTTGTACAATTACGAAGAAAAAAGTAAGTAAAAGAGAATAAAACATCAAGCAAACAAAACAACGAATATATGTATGTATGTATGTGTGTGTGTGTGTATGTGTGGGTGTATGTATGACCGCGCAATAATAACAATAAAATAAACGAACAAATCTAGAAATAATAAGTAACGAATAAAATAAAAGAATAAATCTAGAACTAATAAGTAACGAATAAAATAAACAAACAAATCTAGTAATAATAAGTAACGAATGGTCTAGTAAAAATGAACAACTTAACTAGACTTAGCTAAAGTATAACGAAAATAATATTGTGTTGATTGTTGTGTTTGATTGCTGCTGTTGGTGTTGTGTTGAAGAATAAACAATGCAAAACAATACAATACAAATAAACTAGAACGTAAGAAAGAAAGAATAGAGTCCCTAACTTACCTATGTTCACTAAATTAACTCACCTACCTATGTCCAATTAGCTCAACTTACGAATTAATCCTACCTATTTGTACAAT